CCGCGGGACACTAGGTGAGCAAGCGCCCGGACAGGTAAGGCTTGGGCTTTCTGCAGCTGCTCAGCCCCCAGGCGCCCGCCCCCAGCCCTGGAGACGCCGCGTCCCCGGATACCCCTGATACCCGGTTGTGAGGGCGCCGGGGAATCCCCATCCTTCTCACCCGGCCGGCCTCATCATCCCCCGGGCAGTCCTGCCTCCTTCCTTCTTTCTCCCAAACTTAATCCCAAACTCCTCCTCCTCCTCCTCCTCAGCTGCCCCCCCGCCCCCGGGCATCCAGAGAACAGAAAAACAAAATAACTGAAGACACCTGGGCCCCCGGGCGGGCTCCTCTCCCTCTCCGCGTCCCTCTTTCTCACCTGTGAAAAGTACCTGCTCCATGAACCGTGGTGAGCATGGAAAGAGTCGAGGCATGAAATTTCCTGCTGCTTGGGCTCCAGTGAGGGGAGCTATCTTTATTATTATTAATTATTATTATTAACGCGTGCGCTCCGGAAACTGCCCTGCAGCCTGGGACTTTTCCTCCTAAAGCTGCTGAGCTGTTCAGTGTTGAGGTGGCTGCCACTAAGCATGTTTGGGGCTCCCGGCTGGCCGGTAGGAAAGGTCTGGGGATCTCGGCTTCCATGTGCTCCCTCTTCCTGTGTGTAGATACAATGACCACACTCTTTGGCTTTGTAAATTGTTGGTTCTGCCAGATGAGGACCCCCGAATCAGAGAGAGGAGCCTTTCCAGATGTGGATTTTTTCCATCTTCCAGAGTCTCGGTTACAGTTTAAAAGACAGCAAAAGCAGCTCTCAGTCAAATTCAAGTACCCTTAACCCACCACTACTGCGGCTGTCGTGATAGTTTTATTTTGTTTCCAGTAGTCTTCCGGAATCCAGAGTTCTTAACTGTTTTTATGCTGAAGGTGCCTGTGGTAAGCTGGGGAGGCCTTTCCCAGGATCATGTTCTTACACGCCAAAACAAAACAAAACAACACAGCAAAACAAATAAACACAGAATTACCAAAGAAACCCATACTACCAAACTGCAGTCGGACAAATACTTTTAAAACAAATATGTGTGTATACACATATGCTCCTTATTAATGCCCTAAGCTGCAGTCTGGTGCCAGATCAAAAGAATAATAATAGTCATGAAGCTTTGAAAACATCTGTGATTTCTCCTCATGGCACGGCTGCTGACATCCCGTGGTCTGTTGGGCTTCTCATAATAGAAGGCTGTGCTAAATTTCAATTACAGCAGCAGTTCTCAAAAGCTTCACTCTTAGGGCCGGGGATTTAGCTCAGTGGTTCGGTGGCCTGCCTTGCTAAGTGTAAGGACCCGAGTTCGATCCCTGGTACCCCCCCAAAAAAAGCTTCACTCTTTTTAAAAAGTATGAGTTTTTTGTATATGTGGATTACATCTCTTACTGTTTGTCTTGTAGGAAAATAAAACAGAGGTGGTTTTTGTTTGTTTCTTTGTTTGTTTTGAGACAGGGTCTCACTATATAGTTGAGACTGACCTGGAACTCACTATGTAGCCCAGGCTGGTCTCGAACTCACAGTGATCCTCCTGCCTCAGCCTCCCAAGTCCTAGGATTACAGGCATGCACCACCACGCTCAGATAACAGAGGTGTTTTTAAGAACACTCACATGGACACTCCATTAGCCATTGGCCCTGACGTCAGTGCAGGTTCCAGAACCTTTAGGGGTCAAAAGGACAAACACATCTTAATATCCAGTATTGACCTCATTAAACCCAGAAAAAGTCTTGCAAGGTCCACAGGTTTTCCAGACCACATTTTGAGGACTCTTAAGTTTCAAGGTAATAAAAAGCAAAAGAGGCAAATAATTTTTCCATCCAAGTTCATGTAGTCCCCGTTTTCCATCCATAGTCCCAAATTAAATTAATTAATGCCCCAATGAGATCTCCTATGTTGGACCAGGACTCGTGGCTTGTGTGCTGCTACTCCCATGGGGAGGTGGACAGAGCCAGGTACTTTGCTTTTTGTTGTTGATGTTGTTTGTTGTTTGTTTTTTGGTATTGGGGATCAAACTTGGGACCTTGTGCTTGCAAGGCAGACACGGTGCCACTGAGCCAAATCCCTAGCCCTAGGCTGCTTTTACAGTACCTGAGGCAGGGGACTTCACCTCACTGTGCACTGATTTCACCTTCTTTAAGTGAAGAGGATAACGTAACTATCTCACAGGGTTGTTGGGAGGCTTAAATTCAATAATAGATATAAACCACCGAGAGCAGGCACCCAGCACATCCCTCCCCGTGGTCATCATACTCCAGACTGTCTGGTCTGCACACTGTGCAACACAGAACCACAATAAGCCTATGTTTGTAGATCATTTTGAAATTAAACTTTTGAAAATTCGGAATTTTGACAGAACTACAGAAAGGTACACAAAGCCTCATGTTCCACCTAGTGAATAGGACAAGGAGGACACACCAGTTTTACCACCTAGGGAACGTGTACCTCCCATACATAGTGGGTTTTGTTTTGATTTTTAAAAAAAATATGATGGGATAGAAATGTACACTATCGAGCACTTATATCTGACTTCTTTTATGCAACATTATCATTGTGAAAGTCATCTGGGTTGGGCAGATAAATGCGGCATTCCTTCTCATTGCCCAGTAGTATTCCGTTGTATAAATACACCATTATTTATTTATCTATCAACAGGTTTTTTCTTTGGCTCTTACAAATAGTGCTACTCTTGACCTTCTAGTACATAATTCATTGGTGAACATGTCTACACATTTCTCTTGGATAGACAGGTCATGCAGTACATAAATGTTCATCTTTACTAGATTCTACCGAAGTGTTTTCCAAAGTGGTTTGATAATTATTCTCCTCCCACCATCCATAGTGGAACATTTCCATTGTTCCAGATCCTCACCAGCATGTGGCCTTGTCAGGCGTTTCATTTTTAGTCATGCTGGTGGGTGTGTGGTAGTAGCTCATGGTAGTCTAATTTGCATTTTTCTGATGAGTAATAACGTGGAATATCATTTCATTTACTCTTTGGCCTTTTGGATGTCCCTTTTCTGGTGATTTGTTCAAGAACACATCTTGCTTGTCATCTATTGGGTTGTCTTTTTTAGGAGGGGAGGGTAGTGGAGATCAAACTCAGGACCTTGCACTGGAGAGTGAGGCAGGTGGTGGAACCACTGAGCTAAATCCCTGGCTCTATTTTTATTTTTATCTTTAGGGGTTGGACCATTTTTAAATGTGTTTGCCTTTTATGCATTTGTATTTGTATCGACATCTTTTCCATGGCTTCATTTTCTACTCTCTGTGGAGTTTTGTTTTTGTTTTTGTTTTTTTTTTAATGAACGAAAGGTCTTCACCTTAGCATAGTCTTATAATTCACCAGGCTTTTCCTTTACGGATAGTGATTGTCAATATCTTGTTGAAGAAATATTTGTCTCCTTCCAAAGAAGACTGACATTTTAGTGTTATTTCTCAGTGGCTTTGTCATTTTTGCATCCCATTTATCCTAGCAATCTATCTGGAACTGGGTTTTGTGTATGGTGTGGGGTAAGGATTTGAATTCTATCAAAGTAATGGCTAATGAAATAAAGATAAATAAGTCTCTTTTTAAAGAGACTTCATTTAAAAAGTACGTTTCCATTATGAAAGTAGTATCTTTTTACTGAAAATTAGCAGGTAGAGCTCAGAAGGTTTAACAGCCCCAGAATGACAGTACTGGTTTGGAAGCCTGTTCTGCTATTCTTGGCTAAGTAACCTTGAGTGTTTGACTTTACCCTCAGGGGCCGAGGATCTAAAATGGGTATAGCAGTGTTACCCTCAAAAATGCTTGGAAAGGTATAGCATATGCAGCACACAGCAAGACACAAGGAAAGGATTAAGTAAATAACAGCTATAATTGTTCATAACAGATTTTATTTATCAGTGGTTGCCCCTCCTTGGATGACTTTTTTTTTTTTTTTTTTACATCCACAGAATCTAACCCAGGACTTTCCGACTGAGATACATTCCTGGCCCTTTCTAAAATTATATTTTCTTTTGAGGCAGAGTCTTGCTAAGTCACTAAGTTGCCCAGCCTGGGCTCAAAACCTCCTGCCTCAGCCCCACAGAAGGCTGGGATTACAGACCTGTGTCACCAGGCCCTGTTGGAGCACTTTACTTCTTAGACATATGGTTTGCGTTGAATCATGATCATACCATAGTCTAATGTGTTTTTTTTGTTTGTTTTGTTTTGTTTTGTTTTGTGAGGCAGGGTCTCCTGGCCCTGAACTCACTATGTTCCCATGCTGGGCTAGTGCTGGGATTATAGGCATGCACCATCACATCCGGCTGTCGAGTGCTATTTTTACTGAGCGTTCCTCAGCATTCTTTCACATGGGCTCACGTTATCCTGATATCCCATTGTGTGGTTCACTTCACCCAATCTGAGGAAAGAGGTGGCACTAATGGGCAAAAAGCCAGGGCTTTGGGGTCAGATGGCCCAGG